ATTTCAACTTCTTTTCAATTACATTTCAATTACTTTACATAATACATATTATGTGTATTTAATATTAAAATATTTCCAACACAGTCACATTTTACAGTTATTTTGAATTTATTCAAAGAAGCCCTTCTGTTTTTCAAAATCTCAAACTTCTTTATAGCTCAATAAATGAATTTGATATATTGGCTTGTTTACCAAAATAATAGTTTGTTTTATAATTATAATGCACATAAAGAATTAATATAATACTAGTTTATAATGTTTATCAAAAATTTTATTCTACCCCTCATTGGTATAGACATGAAAACACTTAAATTTTTTGTTGCTTGATTATGAAAAAGAAAAGAAAATGATTTAATGTGTCATTAAGACCTGCCTTGTTACCCCTTCAACTCCCAAATGTAATTGCTATCAAAACAATCCTCCAAAGTTTTATATATTTTATATCATGCTTTTTTTAAATTCAAAGATATGACCATTAGAGGCAATTTATTAAATACTATTAAGAATGCTCTACTATTTATATACTTCAGAAAAGAAATCAATATTGAATCACTATTTTAATATTTAAACAGATCTTAATATGAAATATTTATTACATAAAACAAGTATTATTTGTCAACATTTGCAATTTGTGTTAAGCTTGCCTACCTGTAGCTGAAATAATTTGAGAGTATTTTATGGTTGATTCATAAACTCTTGAAAACTCGCTTTTAATCAAATTTCATAAAGGCAGTCAATTGATAAATGTACATGTACATTGTAGGAGGACTAGGTCTTATGTTTATGAAGCATACAAACATGACAGGCACCTGACATTATTTATTTTAAATATTCCCCGTACCTTAAATTTACATGTATTTGTTCTTCAAGATTTTTTAAAGTGAAACAAAAGTAATTGAAGTGTATTTAATTACATTCTTCAAAGTAATCGAGAGTAATTAATTACATCTGTAAAAATCATTGTAATTGCAAGTAATTGACAAAATTTTCAATGTATTTAAAAGTATTTACTTACATTTCAAAGTAATTGACCCCAACCGATATATATATATATATATATATATATATATATATATATATATATATATATATATATATATATACATATATATATATATATATATATATATATATGTATATATACATGTATGTATATATATATAAGAAATAAATAACAAGTTTAAAAACTTCTCTGGGAAATGAAGTGGGTCGGTCACGTGATCAAATCCTGTGAAGGCCGAAGGCCTTCTCAGAAGATTTGATCACGTACCGACACACTTCATTTCCCAGTGAAGTTTTTAAACTTGTTACTTATTACTTATCTATACATTTGAGACAGACAATCGAATATAAATATTGCACTAACTGTTTGTCGTAGATTTTGACAAATTACGCAAGGTGTAAATTGGCTTGAAAAGCGGTTACACTTCAAATTCATCTGGCAAAGGATTCTGTTTTGAAGGGAATATTCTGTGAAAGGCTACTTGTGATCAATTATAGTGAGCATATTTGTGTCTGGGAATTTTTGTATTCGTGAGAACCCATATTCGATGTTAATAAAAACAAGAAACACGTCCGATGTTTGATAATAAAAAGTTGGAGGAATTTCGGTAGGAAAGAGATGGATGGAGACACTTCTCCGGACCAGTTAACTTGGAATCAAGTTTAAAATTTGATCAGAAACATAAAATCTACGATTTCAATAAGGCATATTTATTATGATGTTGACACGGAGACACAGGCGACAGCTTACATTGTTAAGACAACGATCTTGGTGATGGAGGTGTGCCTACTGAACTTCCGAAGTGCAGTGTTTGTCAGATGTTTGTGGCGTAATTGCATTACATTGATATTTTGAAATATCCAACAGATTTTCAAATTTATTGTGAGTAAAGTTTAATGAAAAAAAAAGAAATATATATAGCATTCAGAGGTCTACAAGAAAAATAAGGGTAAACGTTGAGACTATGCAGCTCAGACATGAAATTTATAACACGTAGTTTTCTATTCTCTATGTAAAATTGATCAAGAACTGTATTAATTACTCGATTACATTATAAATAAAATGATTATTATTTTACTTGGGTATTTTGTACATTTTTATGCATGAAAAGCATGCTATATTGCTCAGTAGAGTCAGTCTTTTTATGAAGATATTAGTGCGCTGTGTGATTAGGTCACAAAATGACCTATGACCTTCGAAAAACTTCATACAGGTATGAAGATATTTGCTCTCTGTATGTTTATATAATAGAGAGATACCACAAATGTATATATATATATATATATATATAGATATACATATATATATATATATATATATTATGCAAGACCCTAGCTTGTTTTATTTTAAATTATTGTCAGATATACCATTTACTCATTTGAACATTTAGATTGTTTGCATGGTCAATTATGTAAATTTCTTAAAACTTGAGTATCTTGTTTACTTGTCCGTCTTCCAGTGAGGGTAGTACCTCAAAAATACAAAATCCCTATAATGAATTTAATCAACATTTAAATGTAAAAGATTAAGATAACGAACAGTGATCGATTTCAAAATATCAACAATATAAACAAACAATATATATATATTAAGATGGCAAAGAACACGGACCCCTGAAAATTCCAGAGGTGGGATCAGGTGCCCAGGAGAAGTAAGAATCTGCAGTTGACCGGTAACACCCGCCGTGAACCCTGTGTAAAGTTTAAATCTATAGTGTAGTTGTTTTGATTCGACTAGTTTACCTTTTCTTCAAATTATAGCTACAGAACTGAAGCTCTCCAAAAAAATACTGACAAAATCTATCTGTCTATCCCAAACCATCTATCCTTCTGTCTTCAACAATGCAGAAGTGAAACAAGAATTACTAGTAGATAGATTACACAATCAGTATGTACTGGTCCCCACTGACAAAGCAGGTTACAACATTGTCTTTGATCATTCTTTGAATTGTATTTTAGAAGAACCAGGATTTAATTCTGCAAGTGGTAATCCAACTTATACCCATAGCTCCCTTTCTAAGGAGGAAATTCTTCAAAACCATATGTCAGTTTGAAATATTTTTAATATTCCCAACAATCATTGACAAATGAATTTGAATTATCGTACCTATACTGGATTCCAATTAAAACTTCATAAGAATCCTTGCAAAGATAAATAGCGGATTCCAGTAAATGTTCTACCAAGCCTCTTTCTTTACTCCTAACTAAAATATTTACAGCAGTCAAGGAGAAACTTCAGGAGTACTGTACAACAGTATATTCAAGAAGTGGTGTAAATCAGATGTGGATACTTTAAAAAATCCAAGGAACTTTAAAATTTTTTTTAAAATAACAAAATTTTAACAAAATCAATAACATCAAAATGTACAACTTTTCTACACTTTATACAACCATTCCCCATGATAAATTAAAGTCCAGGGGCCTGTTTTACAAAAGAACTTACGACTAAGACCAAAAACTTCAGTTGATTGTAAAATTTTGCAGAATTAATGATTCTGTTTAAAATTTCTAGCGCAAAAATATCTTTCTACATTCCTTTTAAAAAGAATAAAACCATTTTCAATTTACAGTAAATTAGAAAGTTATAAGCAGAATAAAATTTTGGTCTTAGTCGTAAGTTCTTTTGTAAAACAGGCCCCAGGCTTTTTGACATCATAGCTGCTTTTTCAATAAAAATGGAACTCGTAACTATACTTATCTTGTCACTGGTCATTTGCAAAATTATTTTGTTAAAAAACATTCTGACTGTACACTCAAGTACTCTGAAGTTGATATTAAAAAAGATGCTTGAGTTCCTGATTGATAATATCTATGTAGTTTTTGGAGACCAGGTCTTCCAACAATCTGTTGGAATTCCCTTGGATACCTATTGCGCCCCCTTATTAGCAGACCTGTTTTGTATTCATATGAAGCAGAATTTATTCAAAAACTTCTAAATGAGAAGAACATACCTGCTGTGGCCTTCAACTCGACATTTAGATATATCGACAAAGTATTCTCAATTAACAAAAATTACTTCCTTCATTTGTCGACTCAGCTTGAAATAAAAGATATCACAGAGTCTGACACATCTGTTTCATATCTGGATATTTTACTAGAAAAACAATTTAATGGTAACCTAACAACAAAGCTTTATGATAAATGTGATGACTTCAATTTTGCAATCGTCAACTCCCATTACTTATGTAGCAATATACCTTTTCACCTGAGTTTTTGTCTCCCAGTTGATTCAACATGCAAGAGCATGCTCGTATGAACAATTTCTAAAACGAGGCAAGCAACAAGTAGATAAAATAAGGATATCAACAGTCTCATTTGAAGTCATCATTTTGCAAGTTTAATGCTTCATACAACAACCTTGTCAGCAAATACAAGTTATCATTAAGTCATATGCTGACTGACGTTTTTCATACTAATTGCTTTACCATTATTTACACACTGAATTGTCTATGGATTTTTCCCAATCATAACAAGGAGCATGCGATGGGTGTGACAGATCAGCAGAGGATGCTCACTCCTCCATGGCACCTAATCCCACTTCTGATCTTTTTGGAGATCCATGTTTGCTCTGCTCTCGATTTGTATTGCTTAAATAGACTTTGAGCTTAAATACTGTTCGTTATCTCCATATTTCTGTATGATTTCACAGATTCTTACAGGTGAAAGTCCTGCCAGGGGCAAAAGAATCTGAGTTGGTGTCTTCTGGGCCTAGGGTGGAGATAAATTACATCTTTGAAAATCACCTTTTCTACTCAAGCAGATTTAGCAGACATTAAACTGATAATAGCACACAGCTTCCACCAAAATTGCAAAATTCATGGGCCCTCAGTCCACCCAAAAATAAATTTACCAAAGAAAAATCTTACTAAGTTTCAATCATTTCCTTATGGGGTATAAATAAAGTAGAAATGAATTAATACTTCAATTATCAATAACACAATGTTACTACTCTTGATATGAAACTAAATTAATGTACATGCATGTGTTGCAATACTAACCCAAATACAGTCTGATAGAACGACAACAGGATCCGATTGTGTACCGTTATCCTTTACAATGTGGTCATAGGACTCTGATCTTACGTATGTCTCTAGATTTCTAGAAAAAAACAAAAACAAAAGATTATGGGTCAAAATGCTCATTTCAGTAACCTTTCTCTTCCTGGCAAACTTTATAGTTTTTACCCGGTAATACCAGTGTACAGATAAATTAATTAAACCCCTTTTTGTTGTCATTAAGTTAAAGTCTATGATTCCAACAGTTTTAAATTAAGAATATAGGGGTGAAGTCAAGTTTAAAAATCTAATCATACACTTGTTGAAAGAGTTTATGTACAGTTGAACTTCGGTATCTCGAACACTGATATCTCAAAGTGATTTGGAAGTCCCACCCCTTATTAGTCCTGTACCGGCGAAACCGGAGGGGACTATTATAGGTTTCCTCTGAGTCTGTCCGTCCATCTGTCTAATTGTCTGTCTGTCTGTCCCTCTGTCTGTCTGTCCCACTTGGTTTTCTGCACTTTTTTTCTAAACACTTGCAGATATTGAGCTGATTTTTGGTATGTGAGTGTATCTTGATGAGTTGCAGATCAAGTTTGCATTTCATTCCACTTCAATGACTTTTGATGGAATTACAACCTTTTCAATTTTTCAGGGTTTTCCGCATTTTTTTTTCTAAACACTTGCAGAAATTGAGCTGATTTTTGGTATGTGACTTTACCTTGATGAGTTATAGATCAAGTTTGCATTTCGTTCAGCTTCACTGATTTTTTGATGGAATTATTGCATTTTCAATTTTTAACAGGAGCCAGATTACACTTGCCGGTAGGGGACTAGTATTGCTAATGCAATACTCTCAAAATGCTTGTTCTTTCAGTATGTCACCCTGGATATCTCTAATCCTCGGATACTGAAGTTTTCCTCGGTCCCATTGAGTTTGAGATAACGAGGTCTGACTGTATTTTGTGTAAAATGTTGACCCCCTGTTGTTTAAAAGTACATAACTGTGCAGAATACTGAACTCTATAGCAGAAGTGTACATCACCCATTCTCAGCAATAAGGTGGAAAATTAATGTCTTACCCTTGTTACTCGATATCTAGTAAGAATGATTTTCAGTATGAGCAACGCATGTGAGTTAAGGCTAGGTATAGGCGTTTCTATGCAAATTAGCTAATAAAAATGCACAAGAGGTATATTTGTTATTCAGAGAAAGTGTAGTTTTATTTTTTCATGTATACTTAGTACCCACGATATGTTATAGCCAGTACACATTATGACGTCATATTATGACGTCACTGATCTTACCTCCTGGAGGTAATAAAACACATCAACAAAACAGCTTCGGTGCAAGGGATTACCCTATTTATTTTTACATAAAAATTATATAATGCTAAGAAGAATATTCTATAGATTAATAAAACTGCTGCACAAATCCTAGGCATTTTCTCATTTGATCGGAAAATGAGGAATTTATACCGGACTGTAAATTTTTACACTTATTCAACTTAAAGCTTAAAGCTTTACAAATAGAAATTATACAACTGAGCTGTTGATATTTGTGCAGCAATACCAGCAAACTTTGGAATATTTTGCTTCTAAATATACCTTGTTTCAGTTAAATAAAATAGAGCATGCCCTTGCGCCGAAGCATTTTTGTTGATATCCATTATAATCTTGTGTAGTAAAGAGCAATGACGTCATTATATGACGTCATAATGTGTACTGGCTATCTCATGTCGTTGGTACCAAGTATGTATTAGACAATAAGTTTAAACTTTTTCTGTATAATAGATATAGTCCTAATGCATTTTAATTAGATTACTTGCATATAAAAGCCTATACCTAGCCTTAACTCACCTGCGAAGTAAATATATATTAGCAAACTTGGAAAATTCTACTTGCCAATGGGTACTTCTCTGGGTATCATGAAAACAATACATGGGTGAATTAAAAAAAAATGACCAGACACATATTTATCAACCTGCACTAAACATACAGGCAATGGGAAAATTTTCTACGTCTCAGCATATGTCTTTAGATAGCATCTAAATACCTGCCAAATATCTCATTGATATCTCAATTCACAAAAAAGTTATGCCCAAAAATGATGCTAAAAATGTCAGGAGTGCAATACCTTTGTGTGACATTTTCAAAATTCAATATTTTTTGAAGATCTGTGATATAAATAATAATGGGTTATGCTGGAAATAAAGACTTTCCTGATAATATTGAAAGTATTGAGCTTTAAATGTAGACTGTAGCAACTTTTATTTCACTAAGTTATGGTCATGGCTGATGCTGGAAAAAATGTTATACCATATCAGGAGTCCAACACAAAAAATGTAGTGTTGCCAAAAAACATTGATTTAAAATTTTTTTACGACAACCGGGTCAAGAAAGAATTTCAAAGTGTAAAACAATAACTGATATACAATTTAAAACTAAAAAATGTTATATTAATCACAAGCACCATTAATGAGAGTCAAGTATCTGTGCATGCCAAATTATGTCAGGAGTGAAACATTTGATGTTTTGCTCCCCAGCATGGAAAAACTTTTATCAGTATATGATTCTCTGATTTCTATTTTTGAAAATAAAGACACAAATAACAATTTTAACAAATAGATCTATCAATTACAGGGACTGTCCATGTTTCAGACCTATATTTCTATGGTCAGGAGTGCAACACATTTTTTTAAAGATCCAAGTTAAATGATGAAAAGACCTATGTAATGCCATCATATATATAACTGAGCTGGAATATTATATTATTGCAAATATATTTTCATTTTCAAACAAATCGAACTGGAGACAACTTGTACACACTTGTGAAAAAGATCAGAAATCTCTGATATCATTTACAGTAAAACTCGGTCATAGCCAAGTCCAGGGGACCTGTGAATTTACTTGGCTCTATCCATAATTCGTTATATCCATATAACGAATTTGTACAAGTATATATAGCGAATTCGCAATATACACGTTTTCCTTCAATTATTACTACTGAATATGTTAGGGAAATAATTATTACAAAACATACCTTGGATAACTGGGGTTTTATTATGAATTGAATTTTATATACAAATACTTAACGAAAATAAAATCAGTTCAATATATATCAAATTTTGAGATCTTTGAAAATTCGCTATAAAAGACGTAAATTTCATTATTTTTAATCTCTACGGGACTCAAAATCAGTTCACTATATCCGTAAATTTGTTATATCTGAGTTCATTATTTCCATAAATTTTTACAAACTTAAGAATTGCTAAGAATTTTGTCGGGGACCCCCAAAAACTTCGTTCTATCTGATAATTTGCTATATCTGTAAACAAGTTTTACTGTAGATATTTTCGAACAAAGCATAAGCATTATAAAACATCATTGATTGTATTTTCATCAATACATATGTAACACATCTTTCTAAAAGTATATAAATGTATAGGCCCTGTATTTTTTTTTGACTACATGTGCAGATATGCTGCAGCACTTAGTTGGCATAAGAGAATCAACTAATTACAATGATCTGCATTCAGTAAGAAATATGGATGGTCATTTAGTACGGGTGTAGCGATACAGTTTAAAGCATATCATGGTATAGCACGATACAATGGGACTGTATCACAATACATATATATTTCGCCTTTCATAACTTTCTATAATTCATGTGTCTTTGGTCCGAGAAATTCTCCATTACATGTGAAAGGATAAATTTTTTTAAAGAGGATTATTTCTACAGTTCACAAATAACATTTTGTAACATTTAATAAGCTCTGAACACAATCAAATCAGCATAAAGAAATAGAGAAAATCGCTTTTATTCAGTTAAATTAAACAGAAAAAGCATAAATTGTTTAAAAGTTATATATAGTGATAAACAGGTAGATAGTTTTTGCACCATGATAAAGTACAATTTTATTTGTGTATTGCACAGTATATCCTTGTATACACTCCTATCAATTAGCAAATGTATTGCATCAGAACTATAAAGAGCACGATTGTGTCCAATGAAATTCAAATACAGATTTTAAAATTAATCAGGATGTACTGAAGGGGGTTGAAATATCCGGAGATATTTCCTCCCGCTGGAAGAATACAGTCAGACACATACATTGTATGCATTTAATCAACTAATATGTAGTCAAGTTATTCATGAAATCTGATTTTTTCCCCTGTAAGTTGCCACTGAAACTTTGGTATACTCTTTAAAATTCATAATTTCATATCTCCCAATAAATAATAGATTTTCACTTACGAGTAACAATCATCCATTCCTTGAAGAACACAGAAATTAAATGGCAGCCAATAAACAGATAATGCCATCTGAGCCAGAGTCTTGTATATTGGGAAATGCCTGTTGTTGAGGTCCCAAATAACAAAAGTCCTATCCCGACTGGCTGTAGCAAATTTATCTGTCACATGGGGTGACCATTTAAGGGACATGACACAATCATTGTGGGCGACTGTACTGTAGAAAGGTAAAAGTTTAATGGTCGGAGTCGTCACCACCCTCAGAAGACTAGACTGTGACTTGAGATCCCATACTCTGATTGAGCCTGCAAAGAATCACAAACTTTTCTTCTTAGATACAATTTATTTTTTTACTTACATTTTCCATTGTATATATACATATACAAAGTTGGCTACAAACTGTATACAATGGTTTTTTTTAATGCACACATACTCATCGAGTCAATCAGTAAACAACAGTGAAATAATCACACAATGGTGAAATAATCACACAATAAAATAATCATACAAAAATAAAACAAGAGGCCATGGGCCACAATCCTCACCTGAGTAACTTTGGCCCTGCTGTTCATCACCAGATTTTTCCCCTTGTAATACCTATTGTGGTCCTACCCTACCCTCAGGGGTCATGATTTGAACAATTTAGAATCTACATTACCCCAGGATGTGTCCATATAAATTTCAGCTTTTCTGGCCCTGTGGTTCTTGAGGAGAAGATTTTTAAAGATTTTTTTCCTCTATTTTCAATGTAAAACTTAGGATTCCCAATTGTGGCTCCAGCAGGGGTCATGATTTGACCAATTCAGAATCTACACTACCCCAGAATGCTTCCACATAGGTTTCAGCTTTTCTGGCCCAGTGGTTCTTGAGGAGAGAACTTTTAAAGATTTTTTCCTACATATTTCAAAGTAAAACTTAGATTTCCTATTGTGGCCCCATCCTACCCCTGAGGTTCATGATTTGAACAATTTAGAATCTACACTACCCAAGGATGCTTCCACATAAGTTTCAGCTTTTCTGGCCCTGTGGTTCTTGAGGAGAAGATTTTTAAAGATTTTTATCCTCTATTTTCAATGTAAAACTTGGATTCCCAATTGTGGCTCCAGCAGGGGTCATGATTTGAACAATTTAGAATTTACACTACCCCAGAATGCTTCCACATAAGTTTCAGCTTTTCTGGCTCAGTGGTTCTTCAGGAGAAGATTTTTAAAGATTTTTCCTACATATTTCAATGTAAAACTTTGATCCCCTATTGTTGCCCCGCCCTACCCCCGGGGGTTATGATTTGAACAATTTAGAGTCTACACTACCCCTGGATACTTCCACATAAGTTTCAGCTTTTCTGGCTCAGTGGTTCTTGAGAGGATTTTTTAATGACCCCACCCTATTTTCGTCTTTTCTTGATTATCTCCCTTTGTAAGGGGGCTTGGCCCTTCAATTTAACAATTAAAACTCTGGGGCAGTGGTCGTGGTCCAAGGATGCATGGTACCAACTTCGGTTAAAATTGGCCCAGTGGTTCTTGAGAAGAAGTTGAAAATATGAAAAGTTTACAGACGGACGAACGGATGGACGGATGACGAACAATGGGTGATCAGAAAAGCTTGCTTGAGCTTTCAGCTCAGGTGAGCTTAAAATCATACAACAATGAAATAATCATACAATGAAATAATCATACAACAGTGAAATAATCATGTAATAGTGAATAAATCATACAATAGTGAATAAATCATACAATAAAATAATCAAATAACAGTAAAAAATCATACAACAGTGAAATAATCATACAACAGTGAAATAATCATACAATAAAATAATCATACAACAGTGAAATAATCATACAATAAAATAATAATACAACAGTGAAATCAATGAAATAATCATACAACAGTGAAATAATCATACAAAAGAAAATTGACTTCAGTTACTCTTTGATCAGAAAAGGTCATGCAATTGAGCCTTTGAGCCTAGAAAGAAGTTTATCACTTCAAAGACAAATAAGACAAAATCTATCATATTTTGAAGTAAATCAAATGCTTACCGTCTCCATAGCCTGCTGCCAGAAACTGACAAAACTTTTGCTGCCAGTCAATACACAAGCACGGAGCTGCCTTTTCTGTGACAAAAAGAGAGATCTGAACATAGACTGATTGTCAATTTGATCATGATGTGCTGATTAAAATAATGTTTTAAATTAAAATTTTATATAATATTGTTAAAATGATATTAACAATGACAATTTTTTTGCACATACAAACCTAGTATAAAAGATTTACCTTGTTTAAATAGAGGATAAGGAATAAGAGTGAATACTGGTTCTGGTTTAAAGACAGCCAGTTCATTGCCTAGGTTTTCTAAATTTAAACTTGCTGGTTGTGGTAAACTGTAGAGAAAACAGAAAAATTATGGTATTGTACAAATGAACAAGAGGCCCATGGGCCACATCGCTCACCTGAGTAACTTTGGCCATGTTGTTCTTTACCAGATTTCCCCCCTTTTAATATACCTATTGTGGCCCCGCCCTACCCCCGGGGGTCAAAATATGAACAATTTAGAATCTACACTACCTCAGGATGCTTCCAAATATGTCTCAGCTTTATTGTTCCAGTGGTTCTTGAAAAGAAGATTTTTAAAGATTTTTCTTTAAGTTATATATTTCAATGTAAAACTTGGATTCCCTATTGTGTCCCTCCCTACCCCCGGGGGTCAAGATTTGAACAATTTATAATCTACACTACCCCAGGATGCTTCCATATCAGTTTCAGCTTTTCTGGCCCAGTGGTTCTTGAGAAGAAGATTTTTAAAGATTTTTCTTATATATTTCAATGTAAAACTTGGACTCCCTATTATGGCCCCGCCCTACCCCCAGGGGTCATGATTTAAACAACTTAGAATCTACACTACCCCAGGATGCTTCCATATCAGTTTCAGCTTTTCTGGCCCTGTGGTTCTTGAGAAGAAGATTTGTAAAGATTTTTCTTATATATTTCAATGTAAAACTTGGATTCCCTATTGTGGCCCCGCCCTACCCCCGGGGGTCATGATTTGAACAATTTAAAATCTACATTACCCCAGGATGCTTCCATATAAGTTTCAGCTTTTCTGGCCCAGTGGTTCTTGAGAAGAAGATTATTTAAGATTTTTCTTATATATTTCAATGTAAAACTTGGATTCCCTATTGTGGCCCTGCCCTACCCCCAGGGGTCATGATTTGAAAAATTTTGAATCTACACTTCCCCAGGATGCTTCCATATCATTTTCAGCTTTTCTGGCTCTGTGGTTCTTGAGAAGAAGATTTTTAAAGATTTTTCTTATGTATTTCAATGTAAAACTTGGATTCCCTATTGTGGCCACGCCCTACCCCCGGGGGTCATGATTTTAACAATTTAAAATCTACACTATCCCAGGATGCTTCCACATAAGTTTCAGCTTTTCTGGCCCAGTGGTTCTTGAGAAGAAGATTTTTTAATGACCCCACCCTATTTTTGTCTTTTCTTGATTATCTCCCCTTGTAAGGGGACTTGGCCCTTTATTTTAACAACTTACACTCCCCTTCACCCAAGGATACTTTGTACCAAGTTTGGTTAAAATTGGCCCAGTGGTTCTTGAGAAGAAGTTGAAAATGTGAAAAGTTTACAGATGGACGGACAGACGGACGGACGACGGACAACGGGTGATCAGAAAAGCTCACTTGAGCTTTCAGCTCAGGTGAGCTAAAAAATGAATCAAAAAGATATACTTTTGTATAGTTTTCTTTCTAATTCTGGCATTGTGGTGTCCAGAGATTTTAGAGGCGGTCTCTAAATCTGTTCTGTTGATAGATTAAACTGTTCTCTCTGACTGGAAGTCCTGTTGCCCCTTGATAATGTCTGTTTACTTAAACACTTTAACGCTTCCTGTTAACATACGTCTTCCTTCTAGTATACATACATGATACAGTGGATTGAGACACATTAAATTGCTCAGCAATTTTATTTTCATGGTGCATTTGCATTAGCAAGGCAATAACCAGACCTCATAAAATTTCAGTAAGATGTGGCATCTTTTAGGGTCAAAATCTGGTAAAATTCTCACTGGATATTTTCAAAACAATCATTGGAGATTGCAAAATGGTTCAACTTATCCAAAATTCTAGCTATATGACTTTCAACCTGAAGTGCTATGGCAAACTGCTAGTGTTAACGTCAAACATGCCAGAGTCATGGTTGAGTGAATTTTTTTTACAGCATATCCATTTCTGGACATTATTTAAAGCCCAAATAAATTCAAAACTATATTAACCATTATTGTTGTAGTAGATCAATTAAAAATATATGTTTCTTTTTTCCTTTCAGTGTATTATGCATAAAAATGTATCATTGTCCTTTTCTGGATAAGAAAATACAGAAGCTCTTTGGAAAAGCAACAAATATAAAACTTTAAGGGAGAAAGCAAGAATGTTACTAAATGATTTTTAGAACTCTGACGTGTCTAGGAAGTTCAAGTGCTTAAGATATTTCACAGGCACCAAAAACATTAACAAATTGCTAATAAAAATGCTGACATTTCCTGTAAAGTGTTAATCAAATTTTCTGTGAAAAAAAAAATCTTGCTTTAATTATTGCTAATGTACAGTACATGAACAGTGCATCTTCAGTTTTTTCATGTAGCCTCATTGTGATGTCGCAACAGTGTGAGTTTGTGTATATCAATACACAATACTGTTCAAAAAATGGCACTCAAATAAATTTTATTGTTACTTTAGAACAAAAAAATATAGGTAATCAAAGATTACAGAGCTCACCTTAACAAATGTTATCTTTAAGTAAGGCAAAGTCTCACACTAAACTAATAAGCTAACTGCAATATTTATGCAATTTTGGTCTGATAGGGCTTGCAGTTATTATGGAGTTATCTAAGAACTTCATACTAGAACTCATACAGAAAAGTAAGTCAAATCCAACATCTGAAGCAAGTTTGAGAGTATTCATCCCTTGATAATTCATCCATGCAAGTTTGTAAGTGTGCATCCCTTGATGCATCATTCATGGGAGTTTGGTTCAGGTAAGCCTTTTAGTTCTTGTTAAAGGACCTGCTCCAAAAACTTTAACCTGGTCACTAATTCGCAATATGTAGGTCAAATCCCCCATCCAAAGCAATTCTGGTTGTGCATCAATAAATGTATCTTCAGTGCAAAGTTGGTTTACATAGAGCTTATAGTCTCTTTAGAATGAATCTGCTCCAAAAACTTAAGCTGGTCACTCATACAGAAAATGTTGGTCAAATTCAGCATCCAAAGCAAGTCCAGTAGTATGCATCCTTAGATATATCATCCATGCAAGTTTGGTCAACTTAGAGTAATAGCTACTTTACAATGAATTGGCTTCAAAAACTTTACCTGGTCATTCATCCACTTAAATTGTTCACATTTTTGCTACACAGTAGAGCCTAGTTTATCTGGATGCTTGTGTTCCAAAGCAAATCTTCTGGATTAATGAAGCATCCAAATTAATGAAGCAAACCTTTTATAACTGGTAGATATAAATTCAACTTTTGTTCATCTGGAAGTTGAAGCATCCAGACTATTGGTATCAAGTTAGATTATTTGTAAGAATGAATGCAAGAATGATTTCAAAAGAAATATGACCTCAAATGATATATTTGGTATACCCAATTCATCATGTTATTTTGAGAGAGAGAGAAAGAGAGAAATGCTACCTATATATGTGGACATTTCCATCTGAGAAGGCTCCCGCTAACAGCCCAAGTCTTGGTAACTGCACTGATGCCTACAAACAAATAATTTTTCTTCACTCATTTATTCATTTTTTTTTTTTTAAATTTCTGTCATGTTACTTATTGTTGAATGTCATGAAATTGTCATTCAGCTCCCAAGATAAAGTACAGTTAGGGCTGAGTCTGACCCCTTACCAGACTCGAGAACCAGAACTCTGTTAAAATGTGATAGTTTGTGATCAAGAACATTAAGTGTGATGTGACATTTTAGAAGTACATGGGAAATTCAAGAGAAAAATTAATTAATCAAAGCTTTGAAACATTTAATATGATAGAAAAAATTGCACAATTTATTTCCTTAATCAGAAATTAATACCAATCAAATCTAAAACTGTTTTGAAATACAGTCAAACCTTGTTATCTTGAACTCGATGGGACCAACAAACAAGAGGCCCAGGGGCCACATCGCTCACCTGAGCACTCTGGCTAGGAAAAAGCAGAAATCAGTTCAGTCTTGAAAAGTTTAATTAAAGTGGTTCCTGGGGGGGGGGGGGGGGGGATGGATTGATTTGAACTAACTTGAATCCTAACTAGGGATGCTTTTAAATTAATATAACAAATAATGATTGCTTATTACCTCTAAGTGTGTATGATCTTACCCAAGGTCATTTTGGCACGTTCAAGAAAAAAGTGTTAAATTTGAGTCTGGTTTGTAACATCCTTCTGTTATTTTTGGGAAAATCTCTAAATTTCAAAATTCATATTCTTTTTCCTAAATTTTATTCAATTTTTTTTAATTGATTTTTTTTTCTTTATCAAGTTCACATTCTCATCCCTTTCAATATCCCCACCCATGGATTCATATCCCACTGTGTGGTCATTGTTGTATGGTTAGTAATCTGGCTCTAACATTGCAAGTAGGTAAATCAGCGGGACCTTCAGCGACAACTCTAATAAAAATACTAAAAGGTTTAAAATTAAAAGCTTATCATACAGGTCTTTGGAAGAGGTCATCAAAACAGAGACAACATGATTTATTATTGAGGAAGTAAAATTTCAAGACTTAATTAGGTTACCTCAAATAGCAATACATAATTTATATTTTTGTCCCCCTGATTTACCTATTCGCAATGTTAGAGCTAGATTACTGACCATACAACAATGACCACACAGTGGGATATGAATCCATGGGTGGGGACATTAAAAGGGGTGAGAATGTGAACTTGATAAAGAAAAAACATAGGTAATCAAAGATTACAGAGCTCACCTCAACGAATGTTGTCTTTAAGTAAGGTAAAGTCCCACATTAAACCATATAATGTAGTAGTGTGCATCCCTAGATGCAACATTAATGCAATTGTGGTCTGATAGGGCTTGCAGTTACTTGGGAATGGACTTATCTAAAAACTTTAAACTAGTCACTCATCCAGAAAATGTAGATCAAATCCAGCATCCAAAGCAAGTTTGAAAGTGTTAATCCCTTGATGCATCATCCATGCAAGGTTGGTTCGTATAGGCCTTATAGTTTCTTGGCAATAGACCTACTCCAAAAACTTTAACCTGATCACTCATCCGGAAAATGTAGGTCAGATCCAGCATCTGAAGCAAGTCCAGTAGTGTGCATCCTTAGATGTATCATCCTTGCAGGTTTGGTCAAAATAGGACTTACATTTACTTAGAAATGAAATGGGCACCAAAAACTTTGACCTGGTCACTCATCCAGCATCCGAAGCAAGTACAATAGTGTGCATCCTTAGATGTATCATCCTTACAAAATTGGTCAACATAGGACTTATAGTTACTTGGAAATGACATCTTCTCCAAAAACTTTAAACTGGTCACTTATCTGGAAAATGTAGGCCATATCCAGCATCCGAAGCAAGTTCAGTAGTGTGCATCATTAGATGCATCATCCTTGCAAGTTTGGTCGATATAGGACTTACAGTTACTCAGAAATGAGATCTGTTCCAAAAACTTCAACCTGGTCACTCATCTGGAAAATGTAGGTCAGATCCAGCATCCAAAGCAAGCCTGGTAGTGTGCATCCTTAGATGTATCATCCATACAAGTTTGGTCAATATAGATCGTACAGTTACTTGGGAACAAGATCTGCTCCAAAAACTTTAACCTGCTCCAAAGACATTAACCTGGTCATTCTTTAGCTGAAATTGCAGCATCTGAAACCTTGACTGGTACAATGAAACACACTAAAGGCATCCTCCATACACCTCTGATTGATATAGGGCATAGAAGTACTTGAAAAGAAATCTGCTCCAAAAACTTTAACCTGGTGCGCCGACATTGACGTCAAAGGGTATTACATAAGCTCCCCCAACTTCGTTGAGGTGAGCTAAAAATCAATAAAAAGAAATTAAATAAAATTTTAGGAAAAAGTATATGAATTTTGAAATTTAGAGATTTTCCCAAAAATAACAGAAGGATGTTACAAACCAGACTCAAATTTAACACTTTTTCCTTGAACATGCCAAGATCATACACACTTACAGGTCATAAGCATTCTTTGTGTAAAGTATCAACTTCCTATGAGTCTTCATTTGAGAGTAGTACAGAGAACAAAAATATAACATTTCTTTTACCAGCAACGTTTTATTGCATTAATTTATATAGTAAGCATGTATTATATGAAATATCAGTCTGAGCTTCAATCTATTAAGGCTATGCAAAAACTGAAATTAAAATTGTCGGGCCTTCTTGAAAACAGAAGAGGGTGGAAGGCTTTTTTTTAAAAATCGACAATTAATTTCAGAATTCTCTATAAAATAAACAATGAAAATTCTTCCTTCATAATTATACTGGAATCTTTAACATCTCACAAAATTATTAAAAATATGCATATTTTTCACTTTTCAAGCTTATACGAAATGGCTACTGGAAACAAAAATCAAGAGTAAAACTATGAAAAAATGAGGGGGAAATTTTTTTTCCCTGGATTGGTCTCTAAATTAACATCTTTTAAATTTAACAAGGCCAAGTCTAATTCAAGTGTACATGTCTTTGTGCAGCTTTTTAGTTTCATGCAGTCGTAGGTGCAACATAACACATACCGTATTCTACGTATTGTAATTTAAATATAAAAATAACATTATATTACATGATCTGTAACATTTATGGGTCTTAAATGTGTTTTAAAGACAATAATTATGAATAAACATTGAAATTTCACAATTTGGTGACTTTTTACAATAACTTTCCTGTATTTGACTAAAAAGTAAATTCCTTGGGCAGAAATGCAAAAAAAAAAAAAATAAGGGAAAATATGATAATTTGGTGCTTTTCCAAAAATTTCCCACAGGGTCCAATAGTAAAATGACAACTTTTGAGATGGCCCCCTAGGAAATTGGGATGGTAAACATTTGATTTTTTCAATCTTAAAATAATTAGAACAAGCATTCTGAGAGTATTGCATTAGCAATACTAGTCCCCTACCGGCAAGTGTAATCTGGTTCCTGTTAAGAATTGAAAATGCCATAATTCCGTCAAAAATCAATGAAGCGGGACGAAATGCAAACTTGATCTATAACTAATCAAGGTTAAGTCACATACGAAAAATCAGCTCAATATCTGCAAGCGTTTAGAAGAAAATTGCGGAAAACCCCTAAAAATTGAAAAGGCCGTAATTCCGTCAAAAATCAATGAAGCGGAACGAAATGCAAACTTGATCTGTAACTCATCAATATACACTCACATACCAAAAATCAGCTCAATATCTGCAAGCGTTCAGGAAAAAAGTGCGGAAAATCAAGTGGGACAGACTGACAGACAGACAGAGGGACAGACAGACAGACAGACGGACAGACAGACAGACAGACGGACGGACAGACAGACTCAGAGGAAACCTATACAGTGCAGGAAACTAATTTTGTTACAGCATCAATGCTGATTTGAATGCTTCCTTTGCTTGCTGATTTGAATGCTTCCTTTGCTTGCTGATTTAATGCTAGTAATCCTTATCCTGATGCTGTTTTAAATTAGGTCAATGCTACCGGAAGTAGCATCATGCTACCGGAAGTAGATAATGAATTTCAGCATTGCCGTTTAAAGCAATAAAAGTGCCTTTTACAATTATTTGATCATAATATCTCACTATGTATCAATAATGTGAATACTTTAACCAATATTCTTTCTTTCTTTTTTAATTTTTTACTGAATTAAAACTCATTGATTTTCTGATGCTAGTAGGATAATGCTGATTTTATGAAGGTCAATGCTTGTTTAATCCTTTGCTTGCTGATGCTGATCCTGGTAATGCTGTTTTTTAAATGCTGATGCTGATGCTAGCTCGATCCTGATGCTACTAATGCTTATGCTGATGCTGGTTTATGTAACAAAATTAGTTCCCTGCACTGTAGTCCCCTTCCGGTTTCACCGGTAGGGGACTAATGATAGTAAAAAATCATTCAAAAATTTTTTATCAAAATATCTAGGGTAAAAACAATTAGACTTGGCCTCGTTAATTAAAAATGTGAAAAAAAATTGCAAAACGACTTTCTCAAAACAGATGGGTGCTGGCCTGAGAAAGTAATTTTCCTATTTTATCTTAAGTACTCAGATATGTTTCACCTTACTGGTGATTTGCTAGGTATCAAAGATATCAAATTTGCTGGGATTATCAAGTTTAGAAATAGAAACACATTAAATTAAACCATTTCATGTTTTTTTCCCTATATTTAGTGTCCATGGATGAATTAGATTTGATGTAAGGGAACTTAAAAAAAAATCACAATGAAAAATCTACATGACTCTACAATAATTTGCAACACATTTTGCTCTATTGGGCCAACATTTTTTTATTAAATGATTTACGGGAATTTTTTTGAAAAATTGGGTCGGCGCGGGGGAGGGGGGGGGATTAAAAAAAAAAAATCCATATTTTACGCAGTATGTCGACTAAATAAATAAAAATGAAATTGGAAAAAGCGTCTGATTTTTTTATTTTCAATTATTTGATAAAAACTGCTAAATATATGGTGTGGAGCTTAAAATATGATAACTGCAACACAAAAATTAAAGTAGACTATTAAACCCTCATGAGAAATGGGGGTAATCTAAGGAATTTCTTATCAAAATATTCATCATGACTATTATAACAAGATGACCAAAGAAAAAAAGTTTATAATGAGAACCTCACTACGCTTAAAGTACTGAAAAAACCATGAACCAACAAGTCAAAAATGGAAAAAATTGTTATAAAGAGAATCTCAATATAATATAAACCCAGAATCATGTTGAAAACATGCATTTACAATACAGCATATGTTTATGCATATTATCTAATCTAACAACCAAGCTTTATGATAAACGTGATGACTTTAACTTTTCAATCATCAACTTCCCTTACTTATGCAGCAATATACCTTCATCACCTGCATACGGGGTATATATGATATCTCTCAGTTGATTCGATACCCAAGAGCATGCTCCACATATGTACAATTTCTAAAACGAGGTAAATTATTGACAAACAAGTTGATGAAACAAGAATATCAGCTGTCTCGTTTAAAGTTATCATTTCGTAAGTTCTATGGTCGATACAATGACCTTGTCAGCAAATACAATTTATCATCGAGTCAAATGTTGACTGACGTTTTTCATACTAATTGTTAGGCCATTATTTACACACTGAATTGTCGACGGATTTTTCCGTTATTTCCCGATCATGACAAAGAGCACACGGCCGGTGTGATCAGTCGGCAGGGGATGCTCACTCCTCCATGGCACCTGATCCCACCTCTAATGTTTGGAGGTCTGTGTTTGCTCTGTTCCTATTTTGTATTGTTTGATGGACTTTTGAGCTTGAATACTGTTCGTTATCTCCATATATTTCATTCTGAAAGCTTGAAAGTATTCACACATTAAATAGCATTTCATTTGTAGTGTCTGTTTATATCTATTCTAAAACTACTGTATTTAACACACAACAAAATACTTCTGAATTTACAGTCTGTTCAGTGCTACATTTGATCTTTTTAAAATGTTACAAGTTTGAAAACGTTTCTTGGATATACATGCATGTTAGATACGTCACATTTTATTTTTCACAAAATTCAAACATCTATTTTCGATTTCCAATCTTTTATCACATTCATCACAGGTATCAAAATTGTAAAGGAGAACTACTGTATACGGTACCCACAGTGAAAGTGACGGTCATGTCAACATATTCTCTAGTAAAATTATGCTGATCATTTCTTTTTTAACTCCAACTTAACTTCGTCATTGGACATACTCTAATTGATTTTTCCTATTAACTATGGTTGACTTGGAAAAACTACCGTGTATAAGGACAAAGTATTCTCAACTTTTGTAAAATTTGACATTTCTGCATCCATATTGCCACAGTTTATACACTTCCGAAACGGTTGATAACAAACGTAAATTGATTGGATGATAATAATGGCTTTCAATAAAGCAGCCAATCAGAACTGCCGACTTATTTGCACATTATTATTTTATTTTCTTAGTGCACTTGCATTGACGATCCGCGGGAAATTTAAAAATAAAATCAACAACAGGGACTTTTATTTTTATTTGGCTTTAGCTGATATTGCAGTAGGCGCTCCCGTAAATCATTTTATTAAAAAATGTTGGCCTTGGGATCTCATTTTTTACTTTCTTTTTGAAGTTTTATACCAAAGATTTTGACTTTCATATGCATGTAGTACTTTTTTGTGTCACCTGCGGAGAAGATGGGGGGGGGGCTTTCTCTAACATTTTGGTCCATTTTTTAATGCTGGCCTTACTCCAATTTTTTGTCCATTTTTATGCTGGAATTTGCCAGTGTTTGACAACAAAAAGTGGGGGAAGGGATTGGGGGGGGGGGGGGCAAGGAGTGTTCAAATAAAAATTTACCTAGTAGAACTACATCAAAACTATTCTCAGAAAATGTGAAGAAATTTTATATTCTCATAATGTTGTGTTTTTGTTCCTGTTGGTTTGTGCTTTTTCCAGATAGAAAGATAGGTTTTTCATTTTAGGATGGATTCTAAACATTAAAAAAAAACAATGGATATTTGGATACAGCATATTTTTTTTATGGTCAAAAAAGAAAATTCTGACTATTAAAATTCTTTGTGGTGTTTGCATCTTACCAAGATGTATCTTTTCAGGAAAGTTTCAAAATAATGTGATTTGAAATGAGTGTTTTGTTTTGGTTTTTTTGGTTATTCTTCACAGAATGATGGATGATTGATAAAGAGATTCCTATTTGTCTGCCATGCTAAGCAGACAAAAATAAAACTGTGATAGCTAACTGTGGCTACTAATAGGTACTACTTCCTTCATAGCTACATGCTCATATACCTGAATTTAAACATAAACAATATACAAATTCTAAATTGTAAATATAGATTTCTGGTAGTATTCATTAATTTCACCTCATTATCACTGCTTTCCCAGGCATTGCTTGGACACCAACATAACTGGTAAATAACACCAAAGCTATGGGATATACAGAACTCCAGATAAGGAACACTACTGCTCATTGATTTCCTAAGAAAAAATCATAAAAATAATATTAGTTTTACTAAATCTACATTTTGTTTCTGATGTCATCACCTGACTTTTTTTTTTTCAATTTTAAACCCATCCAACGTCTTCCATGGGAAATTGGTGGCATCCCAACATAAGTGTTAAACTGTAAATCACTTTTTATTCATGAAAACTTTATTTCCGCATATTACGTGAAATTGCCAGCTCTTTTTTAATTTCTCAGGTATATTTGTATTACTAAAGATTATATAGAACAATAATGAAAATTTCTGAAAATTATGTCTCGTTTATAAATATCAAATAAAGTATTGCTATAATTTGCTGATCTACAGTATTCTCAAAAGGAAGCAGGGCAAACAGACAAACATTCTTGTCAGAAAAGTTATGTACAACGTAATCCTTTATAAAACTACAACTTTTTAAAAATCTAAATACACCAATTGCACATGTTTATTTCTACAAAGTTCTGGACAAAATATCTACAAACAGACAGATGGACATGGTGATTCTTGTATACCATTCCCTCTCTGAACCTTGTTTGCAGGGAGTATAATGATTATACTGGTGATTATTAAGGTTGATTAACCTTCTGATAAGAGAAATAACTCTCATTCGAATAATGACAATTATTCCTTTAAATTAAATACTGTAAACCAACTTTTATTCGCGACGACTTTATTTCGCGATTTACTGGGAGTAAAATAGTTCGCGACGATTAATTTTCACGATCAAACCTTTTTTGGATCTGTTGTTAATAGAAAGAGAGACTTTAAGGACCGGTTCGCGGCGAGAAATATTCGCGATGACGAGGCTCTCGCGAACCTCGCGAAAATTTCTCGCACACGAATAAAAGTTGGCTTACAGTATAAAATTGTCGAGTTTAAATTTTAAAGCTATTTCTGTCAAATTCAGCTTAGACATATTATACCGTATAAGCAGAATTTTTAGTGAGAATTCAATTTTGGCATTATTAGCGAGTGTGTAGAGTCGGTAAAATTGAATATTGCTAATAATTTATTCTGAATTGGAGGTAAGACTTATCTTTTATGGTAGTATAAAATCACTAAATTACCTCTCGCTAAAAATATATATAATTTTTTTAAAGAACAAATCGCTAAATTTGCCTCTCGCTAAAAATTCCACTTATACGGTATTGGAATTCCTTTGAAAAAGCATTAATTTTGTTTTACATAAAAGAACAGAGGGATGAAGTCTGATTCATGATGGAATAATTAAACTTGCATTTACTTTGGATGTAGAGAATTCAGTTCTCCAATATTCCACAGTTGTATTGCACCTTTTCCAAAGTACAGTGACTTTGTTTCATGGCATTCAACCATTTCTCTGTGACAGCTTACAGCCAGATACTGGTCACATTTGACATTGTGTGGCACTGGACACCAGGCAAGGCCCCAAACTGGACCACCAGCAAAGAGGTTGTAGGTCCCTAGAAAAATTAAAAAAAAAAAAGGTCAAATAAAATATAACCAGTTTATGAAAAACACTGACATATGTCATTTCAGGAGTCATATACATTACATATCATAGGAGTCACATACATATATCATTGTTATCCATTATTGAGGCAAGTTTTTCCCTTGTTAGTGTGCATCCCAAAATCAGTATTATTGCAAGTTTGATTCAGTAGGGCTTAGTTGCTTGGAAATGGATCTGCTCCAAAAACTTTCACTTGTTTACTCATCTGGAAACTGTACATTAGATCCAGCATCCGAAGTCTGGTAGTGTCCATCCCTAGATGCATCCTCCACGCAAGTTTGGTCTAGGTGGGGTTTTGGTTTCAAATCTATTTGGGAATGGACTAGTTCCTAAAAGTCAGCATTGACATAAATGCTTTGGGTATAGCATGAGCTAATTCTAGACTTCATAGGGGTAAGCCAAAAAAGTAAAGTACACCCAAGTACATGTTTATGAGCTTTTTCTGACCTAATCATTAATTACAAAAAAAATGTCTGAAAAAAAAACAACATAGGTAATCAGAGATTAAAGAGCACACCTCAACGAATGTTAATTGTCTTTAAGTTAGGCAAAGTTCCAAACTAATAATCTATCAGTGTGTACATGTATCCCTAGATGTAACATTTATGCAATTTTGGTCCAATAGGGATTGAACTGTTACTTGAAAATGGACTTACGTAAAAACTTTAAACTAGTCACTCATCCAGAAAATGTAAGTCATATCCAGCATCTGAAGCAAGTTTGAGAGTGTTCATCCTGTGATGTATCACCCATGCAAGTTTGGTTCAGATAGCCCTTATAGTTTACTTTAACCTGCTCACTCATATGGAAAATGTCGGTCAGATACAGCATCTGAAGCAAGCTAGGTAGTGTGTACCTTTAGATGTATCATCCATGCAAGTTGGTCACCATAGGGCTGAAAGTTACTTGGAAATGAGACCTGCTCTAAAAACTTTAACCTGGTCACTCATCCGGAAAATGTAGGTCAGATCCAGCATCCAAAGCAAGTCAAGTATTGTGCATCCTTACATGTATCATCCATGCAAGTTTTATAGTTACTTGGAAATGAGATCTGCAAAGGAAGTCCAGTAGTGTGTATCCTTAGATGTTTCAACCATGCAAGTTTGGTCAATTTAGGGCTTATAGTAATTGAAAATGAGACCTGCTCCAAAAACTTTAACCTGGTCACTCATCCAGAAATGTAGGAGAGATCCAGCATTGAAGCAATTGTAGTAGTGTGCATCTTTAGATTGTATCATCCATGCAAATTTGGTCAATATAGGGCTTTTAGTTACTTGGAAATGAGACCTGCTCCAAAAACTTTAACCTGGTCACTCATCCGGAAAATGTAGGAGATCCAGCATCCGAAGCAAGCATGGTAGCGTGCATCCTTAGATGTATCATCCATGCAAGTTTGGTCAATATAGGGCTTATAGTTACTTGGAAATGAGACCTGCTCCAAAAACTTTAACCTGTTCTAAGAACTTTAACCTGCTCCAAAAACATTAACCTGGTCATTCTTCAGCTGAAATTGCAGCATCTGAAACATTGACTGGTACAATGAACATACTAGAAGCATCCTCCATGCATCTCTGATTAATATAGGGCACAAAAGTACTTGAAAAGAAAACTGCACCAAAAACTTTAACCTGGGATGCTGATGCTGAGGGTATTACGTTAGCTCCCCCAACTTCGTTAAGGTGAGCCAAAAAATCAAAAGGCAAGGTCTTGATAGGGTCATTTTTGCCGATGTTTTTCACAAACAATGATATTGCAAGATTTTGATAATAAATACTTTGAAGTGTCAAATAACTGAAGCACTGTTTTCCATATTTTTTTCAACTTCAAGTCAGTTTTAGTGATTGCTTGAAGTATGGCTGCCACCTTGAAGTAGAATTATTTGGGGGGAAAAAAGTTGTGTTGTTTAACCTTCTTTGAATTTTATGGAATTTGATAACAAAAATCATTTGTTGATTACATACAATGAAAGAAACTTCACTTCCTTGTGGTTTGTTTTTCTGTCTCATAACGATTAGCACTTAATTACCAAAGAGTCTAACAAGTACGTAATATTTTGGATTAATTGTCAAGTTTATTATCACCTTTTTGTGTCACCTGCAGTGCAAAACAGCACTTAGGGATTACTTTACCTGATGTCTATCTGTCCATCTGTCACACTCTATATCTTGAGAACTGTAAGAGGTATGGATTTGATATTTTTCACATATATTGCTTGGAACTATGGTTTTCGTAAATTACCATGGATACTGACCTCGTCACCTTTGATCTTTGACCTACTTTTCAAAATACTTCATAGTGTCAATATGCAGGCATATTTTTGACATTTAAGAATTAAGTTTACGCTATTTAGCATATGCACTGTTTGTCATAAGGCCAACATTTTTTTATATCCTCTTTTACGGGAGCGCCGACCCTAATTTGGGCTAAAATGAAATAAAAATAAAAGTCCCTAATTCAAGTTTTATTTTTATTTCTCCCGCCAATAGTTTATTTATAGTCACTGAAAAAATAAAAGAAATATAAATAAACTTTTCACAAGCCTTTCAAAATGCGATTTGTCATTGGCAGATGTAAATATATTTATCCAATCACAGTATTCAAAGTGTGAATAGTCACTGCACAGCATAGTGCCAAAATATCAGAATCGGAAAGTTTCATATATTTTTAAATAGTCATTTTAAAAAGTGACATGTCAAAGTCATATATTTAATAGAAAAAGTATAAATTTCAGATTAACTTTTAATGAAAGATTGAATGAAATAGACGAAACAGTAATCTTGATCAAATGTCATGCAGATGGCCACGTGGAAACTAAGGTTCTGTCAACCACTTGTTTTGAAAGGTTTTGAGTACGTATTATCTTTGACAGTTGCTTCAATACATTGAAATACGTCTTGGAGATTTTTTTAAACTTAATTTTAAGACAGTAATGTTTTCTCTTAAAATTAATGACAGAACAGAACACTGTAGAACTGGTAGAAAGTGGCGTGACTGAGGAAATTCGAGTCACAACTTTCACTCGTTTTAATGACAAATATTGGAATTCAAAATTACCTACGAAAATATATGCTTGATTGATACAAGACATTATTTCCTTTTTTATCATTTTATGGAATTCTGCATGCTATATAACAAATTAATGTACATCAAGCTATTAATAACAGCTGATATAGTGTATAATTATGTCTCTTGTTTAGTAAAACAATTTTTACCACTAGGGAAAAGTATTGTTGTAAATGATATGCCCTTAAAAATATTATTTAAATTCAAGACCTGATTCCTTTTTTTCATTCAAAAGTTGTGGATTAGAACCAGTTTCAACAACTAAATTTTTGAATTCTGCAGTAAACAGAATATTGTCATGTGTATTTTACATGTGTATACTATGGGAAAGATGTACATATTTCCTACAATTATGTTGAAAGTTAGCATGCTCAGAAAGAAAAATATAAGGATAAAAAGAGATCAAATATACTACATTTTGAGGAAGTTTGAATGTGTTTTCAATAGAGAGATTGGGGTACTTTTTTCCACCTACATATATATTAATTTGAATTGCATTGAAAAAAATATTATACAACTTTTCTTTTTATCATGTCTCACATGCAATTCTGTGAATTAATTTATTTTAGCTAATCCATTGAATGTCTCGCTGTATTTTTGCCATAACTTTGCCAGAGCTAGTCCAAAATCCTCAGGTCTTGCAACTTGCTGAAAACCGAAAAATAAGAGATTCTAAAAAGTTTATGAGGGGTGTGAGTGTGACATTAGTCCTATAAGTTTTACTGTGGTGACACTATATATGATATATGTATTTGATGACTGAGAGAAGACTATAGATTTGTATGTTTGATTTTCATTAATGTTAGAAACTGCAAGCTGTTCATACTAGAAATGCACCTCCTGCCCCAAATATCTAAGAGAAAGTTAAATTTAAAGTAGTTCATTGATACATTAACGTTCCAATTTTGTGTTTTGTACACATAAGTTTTTCATATAACCCTTTTTTCCTGAATTAAGGTCATAGAAAAAAAATTCCATCCTTAATTAAAAATAAAAATTTTTATTGCATTTTTTCATTTTATTTTCATTTTTCTGACCGACTGCTTAAATTTCAAGCTTTTATTTTTATTTTTATTTCGACCCCCCGACTCAAATTTTTGAAAAAAATTCCCGTAAAACAGAAAATAAAATAATGTTGGCCTAAGAAAATATGAAAAACTCCAGCATTACAATCCACTTGACCTTGACCTTTGACCTACTTTGCAAAAAATACCCCAAACAGTTTAATTTACCTTATGAATTTTGAGAGACACAGTTTTGCTAGGTAGCATTTATACATGTTTATGAGCTCATAATACTGTACTTTGAAAACTGTATAATATTCAGCTAGGCAAAAAAAAACAAAACAAACCTTTATTTCCCCTAATTCGACCAACCCACTTAAATTGCTTAGACTAAAGAGTTTTTTAATAAGATTATTCAAATATTTTTTTTTATTGATTATCAACTTCATAAATGTCAACGTGTGTAGCAAGGAACCAGCATTTCTTAAGGTAAATAGGTTGGGCTTAACGAGGCCCAATCTACTTGGTTTGCGCATACCTTTTCACGCAATGTTGTTTCAGACACATTACAGTTCCCTTGATTGCCATCACAATTGAACACAATGACGTTACATTTAAAATGATGTTGAATTGCGCTAAAATATTTCACTATTCTTGCATTCCTGGTAGGTCTTGACTGTGCACGTTGAAAGCTCACTCATTCTGGCATTTCTATAAATTCTTGTGTTTTAATAAATAAATGTTTTCAATTGATTAAAAAACAACTTTGTAATATAATTTATTTGGATATATTGTGAATTTCTAAGTAGATATTTATAAGTTTTATCTTATTTTATTTTAATTTTCGAGTTAAAAAAAAATGCAACCTAAAGAAAACACATGT